GAATTTGTAAATAATCTGAAAGCACTCGCGCGTTGTACTATAAGCAGGTAAAGGAAAGGAAGACGTAGTCCTGCAGAAGCACGAATATATAGTTATAGAAACCTGAAAGTCCAACGCTCGGCAACTGGATTTCCTTTCCATTCCAGACCCCCCCTCTGGAATAATTCCATTCCATTTAGGATTTTGCTGGAATTATTCCATTCCAGAGGCATATATTCCATGGAATATATGGAATTTCCAGATAGAACTTGTCACACGACCCGGGGAAAAGTCCCTCCTTTCCGGTAGGCCAATAGTAAGCTCGCATTTTGCCTTAGACTAGCAGGGCATCTAGGATATATTATATAAAGCCTTCATTTCCCCCTCTCCCCTCGGCTCCTCCCCCCACCTATAAACTACTTCGGATTATAAGGAGTAATACAGAGAGTCTCTAAGCCTAGCCCTTCTATAGTCATTTGCGAAGTAAACTTAAATATTTAGGTACAGTACTAGTATTCCTATTCACTCAGATAAGTACTGCCGTACATAATAACTATATCAAACCCACTATGACACACCCCGAACCTTGCGTTTTGATTGGCCAGAAAAAGACTCTGGAATTCCAGATACTAATCGATGGAAGGATTCTATTCTATTTTATAGGTGCTCTGGAAGTATTCTATATAGAATATTCCACCTGGAATTCCATGGAATATGGTTCCATGTGCCGAGCGTTGTGAAAGTCTATGTCAAGGTACCTTTGTGTCTATAAACACACACACCCAGGTGTTTTTCATCGGTGACTATAATAGTACATAGAGTTTATATTATGCACATTTTAATGCCTATTTATAGACATATCCCTAGACTTCTTTTTATCTGAATACTAAGATTTACGCCTAGAATAACGTACTTGCCTAGAAATGTAAGAGAGAGAAAGAGAGAAAGAGAGAAAGAGGCAGGGGGGTTGTGGGGCGTACTCATAGTAGAGGTAGAGGGAGGTAGAGATAGGGACCTACAGGAAGGGACAGTAGGGAGGGACACAATTATCTGTGAACTTGAGGTTATAACCGTATAAGAGGGTAAGGCAAGGTTGATATATAGACGTCATTTTGATTAGGCTTGATAAGTATAAGACTATTGTAAATGTCAACTTCTAGGTACTAGACTAGTAAAAACACTTAGAGAAATCATTGTCACTTGGTTTTCTTATAATAATAAACAGTCTCTAGTAAATGCTATAGTATATATATTGATTCAAATTTCGACAGGAATAGATAATTACAGTACCTATTAGGACTATGTTTAGTACAAAGAGGTTGCACCTAAATTAGTAGTACATAATTATAAGCCGGGTCTTTACATAGTTACATTTTTGTGCTCCATCAGGGGGATATAACAAGCCTGCTCAGGATTTCAAAGGACGCAAGGACACAAACCCCCCTTCCCCCCGGCCTGTCGCTCGCCATGTTTCACTGATTGGGGTTGGATACATCACATTTCTATAGAAATAGTGTGGACAACGATGAATGGACACCGGAATCTGCTTATCAAGAGCCTTCCGAATAATGTGGATTGGGGATTGTTATTTAAATGTTACATTTAGAGTTTTTATTAAGTTAGGCTAGAATAAAAGAAGTCTCTGCCGCCTTTCTTCTCCACTAAGTACGGTATCCCAGCCGTACTAGAAGATATACTATCTCGCAGTGCTAAACTTACCTTTACTTTTGACTCTATCTTAAGACAACCTATTAGTAGAGAAGACCTCGAACTCTCCCGTAAGGATCTGTGCTATGGTAGCCCCGGATTTGCCGGTTTGACCAATTAGACTATTGAAACCGCCGTACAATAGATTTGCGGAATACTATTATAGACGTCACTAATATGATAATCCATTCTATAATGACCTTTTGTTATGGCTTGTTACGGTGTGGAACAAGTAGAATGGTAGGTATAGAATGAGGAATGGAATGTGGCAAGTAAACACTACGTAATATACAAATCTATATATAATGTCTATGTCCCCTGCTCCTTGTTGCTTTTCCACTCTTGCTATTACTTACTATGTCGCCGTAGAGTTAGTGCCAGACGGGTACTAAAGGCGGAATAATCGTATTTAGGAATAGCTTTATTTTCTACTTGTTTAGGTATAGGGGACTTTACGAGGCGTTATACTTTAATTACTTATTATTTTAGGTTAGCTTATTTACTTTCCTAGGCGAGGGGGGTGCTTTAATCAATAATGAACTCTAATTATTAATTTAAATAGCGAATAATTCGCATCCTAGAAGTGATCAAATAATACTGTCTATTCCACCATGCGTACCATTTAACGAATCACTAGTAGTGTTAATCAACTCGTCGATTTGAGGGTTACAATAGCACAGATCCTTGTTAGATCCACTTGTTCTGGACTATCTAACGCTGGACATTATGTTCGTCCTTACCCTCTTGCCTCTTTTCCCTTAATCAATTCTTCTCTATAAGTCTTTCTCTACTTACAATTTTTGTCACCGTTAATCTTCTTACCTCTTACCTCTTACCTCTTACCTCTTACCTCGTACCTCGTACCTCTCACTTTTTAACTTTCTTTTCTCCCTATAGGATCTCTGTAGGAATAGGAGTAGATTATATTCGCTCCTACTTTTACTAAACGGGGTATATAAATAGCTAGTTTTCTATTAGTTAGTAATATATCTAACGGGGATAGAATAACTCTAATAATTTTTAGTAAGATAGGAGCGGAGATAAGGGGTATAAAACCTACCTAGAATTAAATATTATTCGTTTCCTAAAGTTCTTTAATAGTAAACGTAAAAGCTATAAGTATACTTCTTTTATTTACTTATTTACTTATTTCTCTATATACCTATGTAGAGAGAGAGAGAGTAGGAAAAAGGGAGTATAGGGGTATATAGGGTATAATAGAAGTAGACTTATAGGATAGAATAGTAGGAAACTACTTATAGAGAGGGATAGAGAGGGAGGATTAGGTTAGAATACCTAAGTACTTATAGTAGGTAGGGAAGTATAGGTAATAAGTAACAGCAGGGGAAGGCTCTATAATATAGATAAATAGCTTATAGAACGCTCGGGTAGCGTTTAAACTCTCTTAAAAGTTGGTTATAGGTTATTATTAGTTCTTAAAAGTATAATAATTTCTAAAGTACCCTTTCGTACCCTCTATCTTCGCTTGATAAGGAGGACGTTAAGGTATAATAGTCGTATCCCTACGGTCCTACTTTTTTATACTTAATTTAGCTACTATCCGTTATAATATAATAATGTTCGCTCCCGAGTTCCTAGAGAGTCTTTATATCCCTTTTTTTGAAAGGCATTTTAAGCTTCCTAACTCGACGTTACTAAGAGGTCCTTCTAACTTTTAAGGAGTAAGACTTACTCTCGTTAGCTGTGAGGGTTGAAACCCATGATGGAGGCTCGGGCCATGCCCTCGCTAAGCACTGACCAAAGTCCCCGCTCAGCACTGGCCATGCCCCTACTGCCAAGCAAGTCTCTGCTGTTCCATACTTTTCTGTTCTATTCTTTTGACATCATGTATTCGTTAGGCAGCTTCCTGGAATATTTCATAGACTCTTCCTCTTTCTATATATAGAGGAAGAGCTTGCATGTATGTAGTCTTCACGCACTTCTTAATTGAATATTCGAAACCACACCTTTGAGCTATTCGAGGTCTGGCCTCTCACATTAGCTCGCTTAGGCTTAGAAGTCTTCTCTTGAACCTTCGTCCAAAAACAGAGCTTGCACGTTAGTAATAATTCACTTAACTTCTTAACTCACCAAAGACAAGTCCTAGTATCCCGGTGTTGGGGCAGGAGCGAGTCTAGCTCGGTATGGTGCCTATATATGTGGATCATGGGCTCCACATCTTAGACCAATACAACCTCCAATGCTAACAATTGGTGATCCGTACTACGAGGGCGATCGCTCTGAATGGGTTGCGAATAGTATCAAGTATCAAGCATCATCTACTGTTAGTATCAATTGTCCTCAAACCTCTATCGCCGCCGCAATTCTCCCTTGCTGGCGCTCCGACTTGACCCCTTACCTTCGAAAACAAATACGGATATTTCTCTTGCGACAAACACTTTTAGTCTTCGAGCTACGGTTTTCAGTCTACGAATATTAGAAATCAGAACCACTCTCCTCTCTTACTCACACACACTCCTTTCCTTCCTCTCTGTTAGCTATTTTCGGCTCTATGATTACGGACGAGTTTTTAGTACTACCTTAATACATATTTATACTTCTATAGCTCGGCGAATCGATTGCGGATAGTCTATAGTTTTGAGAAGAACCCGGGATAGAGAGCGCTAGAGTCCGCTAGGCAGAATTGTTTCTACGATAGACTAGATAGAGGAGTAGAGACTACTCGTACGTAGTTATTAGCAGGCTGTAAAGTACATATATAAAGCGGGCGACTTATAAGACTAGGACGATAAAAGAGCCTTATACAATAGTAAATTAAAGTTAATAGAATCGAGGGAATTAGTTGTCTAGCTATGGTTGTAAAGAATAGTTGCGCTCGGTACCCAAGAATCTAGTCGGTTATCTACGGTAAGAATAGCCTCAGAGAGAGGGGGATAGTTGTTAGGGCAGGAGCGAGCCTAGCCAGTATGGTGTACATGTAGCTGAGCCATGGGCTTCACCATCCTAGTCTAATACAACCTCCAATGCCAACATCGGAGGGATGTCAGCTTGACTTTACCCAACTCGTCAACTTCACCTCCACCTTCACCTTCAACCTTTCTCCACCCACCTCTCAACCTCTTCTTCTTTACAACACCTTCTTCCTCTCACCTCTCAACCTCTTCTTTTTACTGTCAATCATCTTGATCTCAAGTTCGAGCTTCACCAACAACACTCAACCGGAGATCGAATCATAAATCCCCCACCTGGCCATAATCAAGCAGCTTTCGATTCAACCTAAGCTTCAAGGTCATCCAGGTACATCCTATCCCCCAGGATCTTTGTCATCACACTGAATCTCTTAGATCGCAATCATGGCGGACTCCAAGGCTGGGGTCATGGAAGCTTTGATTATGGCTCATGAAGCAACCGTGAAGTCTGAACCTGAAAATGATAATATCCTTCGTACAATGGACGTACCTAAGTTTATCCGCCCGCCAAAGATCAAGGGAGAACCGTCTCCAGATCCAGTATGGTCTCCTTTCTCTCTTTTGTCCAAAGCTCTGCTAATGCGCGAAAAGGAGGAGTTCGAAGATTCAAGTGTTACGGACAAGTTGAAGACCGCGAAGTACACGAGAAGCACCCTGGATTCGTTGAGAAATTTTTTAGAAGACAAGACAGACCTTTACCCCGAGTGTGACCAGTTCCTAAAGGAGGCCGGTAAGTTTCCGCTCTAGAAAACCGTTTTTTGAATTTTTACCAGCCAGTGACTGACAAAATGCAGAGGAGCTTTCCAACCTTACTGTGAGAGGCCAGACCTCGAATAGCTCAAAGGTGTGGTTTCGAATATTCAATTAAGAAGTGCGTGAAGACTACATACATACAAGCTCTTTCTCTATATATAGAGAGAGGAAGAGCTTCTAGAATATTCCAAGAAACTGCTTAACAAATACATGATGTCAAGAGAATAGAACAGAAAAGTATAGAATAGAAGAGACTTGCTTGGCAGTGGGGTTATGGCCAGTGCTGAGCAGGGACTTTGGTCAGTGCTTAGCGAGGGCATGGCCCGAGCCTCCATCATGGGTTCCAACCCTCACACTTACCTCTATTCCACGTGTGTTGGTAGGCGTGCTTGGTGCTACAGGATGCGGAAAGTCTTCCCTTATCAACGCACTTCTTGACGAAAAAACTCTCTTGCCCTGCAATGCTATGCGAGCTTCAACAAGTAGTAAGTCAATTTTGGGTTCACTTAGACTTACGAGCAACGATGATTAAATTCATTATTACTTGTTATTTGCTCGCTAAACATCCTTAAAAGAGTTTCGATTGCTAATTAGTCTAAATAGCTGTAGTTGAGGTATCGTACAACAGATCTCAGATCCCGAGTCAGCAGTACACAGTGGAAATTGACTTTGATAATAACGAAGAGTTCATCGAACAGGCAGTTATTTGGCAGGACGATATCAACAACCGTATGGATGGAGAGCAATTAGACTCGTCAAAATCCAACAGCGACGCTGCTATTGCCTTCAGCAAGCTCAAGGCAGTATTTCCGGGAGCTTCCACTGGGTAGCTTGCATCAATACCACCCCAAGACTTATTGAAATTGAGAGATCTTTCAGATGTCCTTGGAAAAACCAAAATCATCCACAAATCGAAAGCCAAAGACATGCACAATGTGATCAAATCATACGTTGACAGCAACAACAAGTCGTCTGAGGGGTCCCTTTGGCCTTTGGTAAAGGTAGTCAGACTCTACACGAAATCGAGCATTTTGCAGAGCGGACTCGTGTTAGTCGATGTTCCTGGAGTCGGAGACTCGAATACCGCAAGGTCTGCGATTGCGCTTCGCTATATGAACAATCTTGACTATATTTTTATCGTCGCGGATATAGTACGTGTAGTTGACGAACAAATTGCGAAAGATCTACTTAGTAGATTATTCCGCGATCGTTTGTATATAGACAACAAGTACAATACTATTGCTTTCGTACTAACGAAGACGGACATCATCAACACGGAAGAGGTTATTGAATCACTTTACTTGGAAGACTCAAGTATGAAGTTAGAAACTAAGCAGATCCGAAAGCTAGAGAAAGCTTTGGAAGTAGTAAGAAAGTAGCGAAAGCGTAAGCGTGGCGGAGAAGCAGTGGAATTAACAGCATTGAGCCAGAAGATCGAAAGTATTAAACATTCCCAAAGCGTACTAAAGCTTCAAATGAAGACGAAATGTATCGAAGAACGAAATAATTGGTCATCGGAACGTCTTGAACTCGATTTTCGGCAAGGTATCATAGAGACATGGTTAGAAATGGCGGAGTTGGAGGGTGAAAAGACGCCGAGGAAGGAGTACGCAGGTAAGAGAAATATACCTTAATGTTTTCTATAGATCTTTACTAAGAAGGCCACAGAGTATCGTTCAAGCAAGCTCAACGTATTCTGTGTGAGTTCCACCGCTTTTTATAATTTGAAGGGCAAAATGTATCTCGAATACGACAAGGTTGGTTTTGGCAGTCCTGAAGCCACGAACATACCAGCTTTACAACGCTTCGCTATTGAGCTGGCAAGCGACGAGAACGAGAAACTGGTTGATCATTTTATTACAAGATAGAGGATTCTTAAACCTAAAGTTCAGTAATTCGTTAATACTAAGGATGCGGATATAAAACTACCGCTTAGTCAAACACAGGAATTAAAATACGCGCTAGATAAACATCTACAAGAGTTCGAAAAGTCTTATGATGAGATTACGGATAGGGCTAGAATAATTATTAAGAGGGAACTTACTAGGAATATTACACACAAAATTAAACAAATCGAACTAGAGAAATAGCAGGACGAGACTATATTTTCGGAAGAATATAGAATAAAGAACTTGCACTAGAGTACCTTCAAGGCTGCCTGCCGACGACTCGGCTATTTCCCTCGAAGATACCGAAAGTATATAAACTTCAACGGTGCATTCGCTGACTTAGTTCTTCGGCCTATTGCCCGTCCCTGGCGCGAGACATTTAAACAAAAGATAGCTGTAAAATATAGTAAATTCGTTAAGGATATAATGACACACATGGATATTTTCCAAAAGTCGTTCGAAGCCAGTAAGTTAAAGATCTGTAGAAAGCCTTACCACCCTGAAGAGAAATTGCTTAAACAGGTTGAGCTCTTGGTGCCCTTTTTCAAGAAAAGGTTGTAGACGCTCTTCAAGGTTTTCGTAAAGACGCAACAGAAACCCGGCAAGCTGCCGAGCCGCTCTTGAAGCATTTGATGACCCCTGCCTATTGAAAGTGTTCTGAGATCGCCGGTAAGTGTTTTTTACATACATTATATATTTTTATAACGGCTAACGTAGAAACAGGTTAAGGTGCTTACAAAAAGATGCTAAAAGAACTAAGTGACATCGTTGAAAAAGATGCCGCCACGTTCGCTGAGAGTGTCCGAAAAGATCTCATCTAGAAGCGATTTAAAGAAATAACCGAACAACAGCGGGAAACACTTTCCGAAGCTGCAAAATCAATCCGAGATTCTATCACAACCGATTTCACAAACATGATCAACAATGCCGTCCCAGACAACGCCGTGGAGGACCAGCGAAAGTTCCAACTTCGTCTAGAGATATCCACGCTACTGGTAAAATTGGAGGAGACTCTCCAAAAGGAGTTGAAGAATCCAGAGGCTGAGCTCCATACCGCCGCAAACTACTTTGTTAGAGAGGGTCTCATTCCTGAGGATGGTAGCGCTGACGATGTCGGCGATGATGAAAGCGTGGTCTCAAACACGGATAAAGAAGCCTCCGAAGTTCTCAGCTTTGAAAGCGAGGATGACTCCGACGATTCTGGCGGATCTGACGAATCTGACGAATCTGACGAATCTAACGAATCTGACGACAAACCCGATTCTCAAGAGAACTTAGATGAAGCGTATCAGGAGCGTGAGCTCTGTGGGGTGACGCAAGAGCCAATTGGCGCTAGCGAATCCGACGAGGTTGATGCTATGGATATTGACTCCTTGATAGAAAATCAAGCTCAGATTGCTGAGCAAGCGAAGGCAAAAGACACGGAGATGAGCGAACAACCACTCTTTGTTAGCCCTTACCGAAAGCCTGAATCTGAACCTGAGCAGCTCTAGTTCTCATCATAACCATGCTGCTCAAATGATATGGGTTCCCTGCGAAGTCATTATCTGAACAGGTTTACAAGGGCTAAGGCGCAGACATATTTCATTTTCGTCTCTTCACATCTTCTGATTTCTACAATCAATCACAAATTGCAGTCGGAGAGTCTTCAAGAAAGCGGCTTTCGAAGGGATTCATAATAATGAAAAAAGGGGAAACGTTATTCATCACATTAGCTAGCTTCTAGGGCATGGGTTCAGCAATTGCTCGAGTTCAACCTCCGCAATTTGCCATTTTCACAGATCAGGAGTCATACCTATGGGGACTCATCTGCTCATAGTTAGCTCACAGTTAGCTCGTTAAAGCACTCAGCAACATTCGTTGTCTGGATGCTGCTAAATAGGTAGCTGACATCAATCAATAAGACTTTCAAACTTCGAGGTCTAAGGAAGATTGCAATTTTGATAATTTGTTAAAGATTCCCATAATTTTGTGACGCTTTCGATAATCGTGTTTTATCCCTTCCAGACGCCAAAGGGGCGAAGAAAACGTGCACTCCTAAGTGGAGTAAATGTGTCCACTTTAGTAGTATTTTCTCCGCAAAACAAAACTGTTTGGCCAACCAGGCTACGTTTCCAAGTACTTGAGCCTCATTTTGACCCGCTATCGTATCCACATATATCCACTTAAGAGTGTACGTTTTTTTTCGCCCCTTTGGCGTCTGGAAGGGATACAGTATGCATTTACACAATTCTGTCAAGCGAGAATATCTGGCGCGAACCGCCTTTACAAGACTGGACCATATAGAGTAGTAAAAGCTGCCGATCACAAATCACTCTAATGCTTGACAACAACAGAGGAAAGTATTCGCTATAAATCAATATGGTCGGCTTAACGAGAAAGCCACAACTCAACGAGATCTTCTTCTAGCTTTCTTGTCTTCAAACTTTGGTAAAAATCACTTGCTACTAATATTGTCACAGCTAGTGGCAATAAGTTCCTCAGGCTCATATGCAGAAACATATTTCATCAAATGTGTAACAACAGTCATTGAGTAGTTCGGAATTAGTACGAAAAAGAGGAGCTCGTTAAGCGAGGAAACGAGAGATGTAATAAAAGACATATGTTCTTTTTCAATTTAGTATCCTCTTTCGATATTACTCTAGCTGCTAAGATTACGAACGAATCGAATTCCCTAATTCGATAGTGCAAAAATATTACCATACCAGAAATCGAATAAATAAAGCTTAAAGCTATTCTACCTCGGGGTTAATACGTATATCCAACAGAAATACTTCTTTATCTACTAATAGAAACGCCACAAATATAATACAATGCGATCGAATTAGTACACTACCGGTTATATAGAAAGCATTGGAAGAACATTGCGGTTATGTATCGCTAATCCAGTACAGTATATATTCTAGTAATTGCCGTGAACTTCAATATTGAACTTTCGAAATGTAGAATTTAAAAGCTATTATGATGGAACCAATCCCGCCCCAGCATTTAGAGGCTTCCACGCGGTGTGGAAAATAAGCTATGAATAGTAGGAGAAGGGCGCAAAGGGGGTGTTTTATAGGACTTTCCTGACCTGGCAGCGCATTATTCGTCTTCTGACAATAGGTGGCACTTTTCGGTACCTACGCCTGTCTTGGAACGATCGTAATATCTGGCCCAGACCAGTCCTGGATTAAGATAGGAGGAAAAACCTCGCGCTTTCGCTGCCATGGTTTTCATCAACGAACAATCCTTTCCTGAAAAGGACCACATACACAAGCATGAATGGTCCCTTTTGATCCCGATGAAGCAGACTTCCAAACTGGCGAGAATCTGGCTTTCAAAGAGCATCAACCCGCAAGCCAGCAGTTTTTTCTACTCACATAAAAGTTCGCGACATTCCATTCTTTTAGGAATCGATACTTTTCACTTTCCTTGGATTATTGGACATCACCCAGGGTTACTTGTTTAGGCTAGGTACATTAGATTGTCATAGAATCAGAATGGATGCGCGTGCATGGGCACCGAGCATGCAATTGGATTATTATTTGGCCCGGAGCGTGCTTATACAGAGCCGCCCAGGGACTTGTATTTAGACAGACACTGACTTGAATCTGAACTAGCTCTAGTTATTTGGATATCAAAATGTGCCTATAAAGATTCAACTGATAGAAATTATCTTTCTTGGATGTAGCGATACCAAGGGCAGCGTCTGTACATCCTTTAGTAGCGGTTGTTACGAAACAAACAGCCTATACTCTGCTGCCTACCCCTATCTCAGGTACCTGGCCCTACTCTATTATTTCAGCACAATATGAAAGAAAAGGTATGCAATAGAGAGAAAAGCTAGCTAGGAGGGAGCAGAGCTTCAATAATTGGCGCCTTTCATGGAATACGTTAATGCTAGAGAGCAGAGCTAAGAGTGCGTGCCGTAACAATTACTACCACAAGATTGAGAGACGATACCCTCAGCGCTACTAATCTATTCGAGTAAGTATGTGGTCACATCCAATTTGGTGGCTTTTTAAAAGCACAATCTGCTTTTTATGCAAATTCTATTCTGTTATTGAGTAAGACAAATCGAAATGATTTATCCAAAACGATAGGACAATGAAAGCAATTTTTCTAGATGTTTCAAACATTTTGATGCTTAGAATTAACTTACGCTAATGTTCGCAGATTACTCACTGCTATTTTTCTCGTCCACTAGGAGCCTACCCATCAGGGATCTGTAAAACAAACAAGCAGAGTTGAGTATGGTGAACTTTCATTTTCAGAAGAGACAGTAAATGCCAGGGCTGATCTTTGAAATGCTCTCAGACTCTCCCAAAAAAAAACACTCTCTGGTTGTTCTAGACAGTGATACCATCGGGAATCCAAGGCTACTTGCTGCCACTTTGGTTGTTCATCAGCAGTCTTTTTCTGGAGGTCATTGAGGATATTCTGGAAAAACAATCTCAGACTTAACTGCCAACTCATTTGATTTTGCGAGCATCCAAAAGGAACAAAGACTGAGAATTTGAAATGGATTGTCAAATAGAGAGCCCACTTGGTCCAGTGTTTCTGATGTCTTGCAGGCCTTACTTTTCAAGTTTTTCGTCATTGAGATCTTTTACCAAGGACAAGAAGCAGAGAGTCCGCAGCTATGGCGGTCAAACATGAGTAAAAGACTCCAATTTACATGAGATTCTTTATTTAATACACTTGAGCAATTGCTAGTTCCCTTATGTCTATCGCCTTGGTGGACGTGTAGGGGATTCTGTCATTCCATTAACTGGGGCTATTGTCCACCTAGATCATTATTATCCAGACCTATTCGTAGCCATTTCTTTTAGAGAAGATACCAATATATAGCCACGAGGGTTTGAAGTATACACGGCGGCTGTTTGTTTGATGAAAGAGTATATCATCTTGACGATGCCACTATATCTCACTTTGAGGATAGGCAAACCAACTGATTGGTGATATAATAGCGGTCTTGCCAAGCCCCACAACTATCAGGATACTAATAACGCAAAGGTAGGCATCCAACAACAACTGAGGTCTCTATGGCTTACTCGGTTTGTGGATGCAGCGTAATCGCTCTGTCACCCTTTTCAAGATTGAGAAATGGTTCTCTTATTGGGTTGTGATCAGGCGGGTTTGGTCGGTTTACGTTAAAATTCAGCACAGTTCTTTGGAGCTGCGCGGTCTTTTTGCTCATCTTTTTGCTTTTTCTGGGACCCTTAGTATATCATGTGGTTTGAGGTTTCTGGTGCAGTAGAATCGGCAGTACCTAGGTGCTGTACAGTGAATTCTTCTGATGGTCATTATAAATTCCTCGAAGAAATTTGGTACTCTAATTGTTATGAAGTTATAAGGCATCTTTACATACAAACATACATATGTCAAATAGCAAGCTAACTCGGCCTAGCCTTATGTAATAATCACCTAGACTATCTAGGTATTCTACAACATAGGTAGGTAGCTTCGCTAGAACCCGTGCCAAGAAAATCTCCACTCACCATAAAATCAAAGCTGCCCCGCCGAAAATCATCACGACTGCATAACAAGAGCACCAAACATGTCTGTCTTCAGCTTCTCTTTCGGTGGCGATGACATAGAAGAAGACAATTCTGTGCCAGCGCCAGAGCCGCCTTTCCCTTCATCCAACCATGCCGCCGAAACGGGATCTCTACGCCGGGTTTCCACCGCATTTCCAGTCAGTGGTCAGCCATTGCTACAGCCTCAGAAACATGATCTAGTGACCATGTTGAACGCACTTCCCTCGAAAATTGCGTATGGGACCCTCAATATCAAACTAGATGATGGCCAAGAAATCTTACTGCCAAGGAGAGAGCTTTGGGATGTGCGAGTGCAAGTGATGGCCGAAGACGACGACGAGAGTCTGGGTAACCTTGGGAAGGATGATGTAAGGACTGGAGTCTATGAAGGGGGGTTCAAGAGCTGGGAAAGTTCCGTGGATGTGGTCAAGGAGATGTACAAGAGGAAAGACCAGATCCTTTCTGTTCAAAGGATGTTTCTTGAGGTACGGCAACCCACCTCGGAATGTTCTTGGTCACTGCTGATATCCTTAGCTCGGATGTGGAACTGCCCTTCCGTCGCTTGCCGTTTTCCAGTGGCTTCTCCAAAGTTCACATCTTTCTTCTGCTGGAAGACTTGAGCTGGGTCTTGCCGATTACAACCCAACAGTGCTCCAGCTAGTCACACTGCCAAACCTGTTATTGTCATGGGCGTATGTGACACGAACTGGACTTTGGGAGACTGAGGGTGAGATCGAAATTGGTCCGGAAGTCGTGGAACAGTTCCTTGCGTCGCTCAAAACCCACGGTGTAGCGTTATCCTTTTTCTCCGGTGCATGGAGTCCCGAATTTGTGGCCTTGGTAGACCAGAGTACCCTACCACGACCGTCCAGGCTTACTATTGTTGGTGCCGAAACTATATACTCTCCTGCTGCTTTGTTGTCCTTTGGAGACACTCTTATGAGTTTGTTGGAATTTCCAGGATTGGAAGAAAGAATGTCATTCATTGCAGCCAAAAAAGTATATTTTGGCGTTGGCGGTTCGATGGAAGATTTCTGTGATCTTGTCCGAGGGAAAGGTGGCATAGTGACCCAAATCAGGGAAGAATGTGATGGGGTTCGACGAGCTGTTGTTGAAGTAACAAAGCCATGAAAATCCAACCAGATGAAGTACGTGAACTGAGGGATACACCCGAAGCAGACATGCTTCTTGTGGACGATATCTTGGGTCGGAAGTCGGCCAACCCGTTTCATGCAATTGCATATTATTGTCGGGTATACATCCTTTAGGAATCTACATTTTCGCGAAAAGGCAAGCGATAAGAATATCTGGTTCGACCCCTCTTTCTATCCATCCACACCTGCCAACACCATCCTGGCCCATGGCCGCCCTATTATGTTGTGGGATAGTAACCCCGCACAAACCTTCTGTCGATCGTGCTACTATGTAACATCTCTCTCTCTGGTGCAGTGAACTTTCAATTCGAAATGCCACTTACTGCCCCAATAAATGGCTCATTATTCCTGTAGTCACCATTGAATCACAAACACAAACACGAAGATAGAAAGGTTGCACGGAACGCATGTGAATTGAATACATTGTGGTCCAAGTAATACGTGAGCTGACCCTTCCATTACGGGTTTGTTTTTCATATATGGCCTGTCTCCTCGCTCATCTTTTGCTATCGCTTCTCAGAAAAATTGTGCGCTGATAGAAAATCATATTACAAGGCCCAGAAAGTTCAACAGCTCACCCACCTCACTAAAGATCAATCGGAGCAAGAATGTCGAATTCAACAGAAGGGTATGACCCAAGATGGCTTCAGGTACGCTTACTTCACTCGCTTCCCCTTTCCTCATACCATACTAATCTTCTCAAATCACAGTTCGAAGAAAAGTTCGGAGCACGCCCTCTCTTTCAAGGCTCTCCTGAAGACATCTTGACTCAATTCAAAGGATTAGTTTCCTTGATAACGAGCCAATCTCCACCACCTGACCCGTCAGTCATTACCGATGACACTACTGCCAATGGAGTTCCCGTTCGCATCTATAAGCCAGCTCATGCTATTGAGACTGGTAGTACACTACCAATTGGAGTTTATTTTCATGGAGGAGGTTGGATGGTCGGCGATCTTGATTGTGAGTCGAGCTTTATTCAATAAGTCTCGTGAAGCCTCCACTCTAGGTTTTCTCAATATACGCGTACGAGTTCTTTCTATCATGAAGCATTACACAGGGAAGTACAGCAACCCCAGATGATCAGAGAAAAAGCAAAAATTCCTTTGTTATTCTACCATTTTTTTGTTTATTGTGGTGCTCCAGCTTGAACATCCAGGTTGTATACTTTTATTCTCCTAGAATGATCGAGCAATCGCTCGATTGTTCGAACTTTTATATAAATAAACCATGAACTATTCTCATAGTAGGGATAATAAGTGTTATTCTGTGCTGCTTCTTCAAAGCTATTCTGAGATAGGAATCAGAACACAAGGTTTCGCAATTACCTAACCACCTTCTGCACATGTTCCCACGTCTAGGAAGCACATTTACAATCTTCCAAGTTATTGCTATCACCTTTAATTAGAGAATTACGGTCTAGTTACTCGACTCAATACATATGGTTGTTTTGAAGTCATGACATCCATTAAGTTATCATTCAATTCTCACTGTCTTCAATCATAGGCTGCTCTTACAAAACACTACCTAACAACTGTTTAGCTGAGGATCCTTGGTGCCGCTACATTACCACAAGCACCCCGTGCATAATAGTCTCAGTCGACTATAGATTAACCCCAGAATATCAAATGCCAACCCAGCTCGAAGATTGCCTCGCAGCATTCCACTGGGTTCGTCTTCTACCCTCCAGATCCTTCAGGAAAATACTAACCATATATCACCAGGTCTACAACAACGCAGAGGACATTGGAGGCTGCAAGGAGAAAATCTTCACCATCGGCGCCTCGGCAGGAGGAGCCCTCGCCCTCCTCGTCGCAGACCAGCTCATAAAATCCAAACTCAAGTCGTACATCTGCGGCATCATCGCCATCGTCCCAGTGACAACCCATCCCTCCAGCCCACCCGCAAAACTCAAATCCCACTACAATTCCTACATCAGCAACAGTTCGGGAGTCCCAGTCATCGACGCAGCCGTGATGGAAACATTCTTCCAAGCCGCAAATGCACAGCCGAACGACGAAAAATGCTTCGTCACTTTGAGTAAAGATTTGGGAGACTTCCCGCCCGTTTACATAGCTACTTGTGGGAAAGATCCGTTGCGGGATGATGGAGTGGTGTTGGAGATGATGCTGGGTGAGAATGGAGTCAAGGTTGTGAGGGATCATTATGAGGGCTTTCCGCATTATTTCTGGTTCTTTCCTGGGGTTGAGGGGAAGGAGATAGTCCTTGATAATGTGGCCAAGGGGATTAGAGCGTTATTGGGATATTGAATGTTTGCCCCTGATATTTATTTTTCCTTTTCCTTTTTGCGCTTCTTTTGCGTGGTCTCGCTTGACTTGAGTAGCAATTGAGAACGTCTATCTTGTTTTGTTTTCAGTGGTAATTAAGAACGAGGCATTTCCAAATATCCAAATGAAGGGAATTGTTAGCTCACTTGGTAATTACTGGTCATTGCTGTCCTGTTTGCGGTTGTCAGCTTATCCACAAGTCACTGCAACACCCAACCTATCTAGAAACTCATCTAATATTCCTGCTTTCAATCACTCAATTATGTCAAATTAGACAAGGTCAGGGGAAACAGTGCAATGTCAATTACTGTATGATTATGCATTCACGGGCCCAATCACAACTTTTGCATGCCTTCGAATCCCTGGGTATATCTTTTACAAACTCAAAGACTACTTTCATGCAGCAGCTTTCTTGCCACCTCCTTTCCTCCACGCAGTAGCCCTTTTTGCTCCCCGATTCGTTGGCTTTCCTTTCTTACCCCCTTTAGCGCCCTTACCTCCCACCTTCAAGTCCTTAGGCTTGCCATTTTTTGCACTGGCTCTGTAGCCCTCGAATACAATGCTTTCCGGAGTCTTTGCGATGCCTGCGATTGATTTGACACCATCACCTCGCTTGCCCATGACAATATCATTGGCACCCGTGACTTTTCCTTTCTTAAATTGGGCAGCCCCTGCTCTACCCAACAGTTTCCCGGCACGCCCCTTGAGAGTAGATTCCTCGGTTGGCATCTTGGGGTTGTAAATTTGACTCTTGGATTGGGGAGCCGCAATTTTGGCGCGTGAGGCCATAGCAGTTTTACGGACAGCTTTGGCGCGAACGACTCGTAAAACTCGAGGGAGCATTGGTGGATACTTTTTCTCGTGGAAAAGAAGGGCGGCCTCCACTGAATTGGCGTCCTGACGGTCACAGTTAACTTTCGTACAATATGATGAATGGATAACAAAATCTTACCACGAATTGAACATAAGCGAATCCTTTTCCAACGCGAGTCTTCTCATCCCGCACAACCCGTACACTTTCTACAGTTCCAGCTTTACCGAATTGACGCCACAACCCTTCCTCTACATCAGATGGAATTTTTGATCGTTTTCTTTCGTTTTCACCACCCTGATCGACAAGACTTTCATCGTCCACAAAACCGAGGTTGCCAACGAAGACACATCGGCGATGGTCTGTCTTTGCAGGATGAGCTACTCCATCAACACGAAGATGTCTATGAAACACCATGCTTCCATTGAGTCGCTTGACGGCTTCTCTTGCAGCGTAAGCTGTCGAGTACACGACATAGGCATTTGTGCTTTTTGTTGTAGCTACCATGAGGTCCTTTTTGACAAATGCTGCTTTTTTCGGCAAGGCACCTCCGGCATATGCAGTAGAACGGAAACGGAGTGACTCGACCTTATGAGCAGGTTTGCCTTCTGGTGGATCTGGTAGGGACTGGAGGAATGAGCCCATATGTGTAAGCAGCGTTTTCTTTGCGGATTTGGAGGAGATTGCATCTGTTGAGACATTGGCCAGGAAAACAGTTCGTGAAGCCTTTTCGAGCTCGACTGCCTCCTTATTTGGCGCCAGTGATTCGTGCATGGGGACGTCCGAAGATGGTAATCGCCCTGGTGTCGTCACTTCTTCATCTGAGCCCTCGCCATCATCTTCCGCTTCAGATACATCTTCGTTTTCGCTTCCGTTATCAGAGGTATCTTCCATTTCTTCGTCGTCTTCGGCGTCTGACGCTTCCGTATCCTCCTTCCCTGCTAACCTTTGGCGCTTTAATCTTCTCTCAGCCTGCCGCTCCTCTTCCTCCTTCTCCTCTTCTCTAGCCAATTTCAGCATATATTTCCCCTCCAAGTCTTCCTCTTCTCGAGCTCTCTTCCGCTTCTTTGCTGGCTTTTGAGTTGCGGCTTCTATGACTCTCTCCAGGTCGCTCTCATCCGACTCTTCCTCTTCTCCTGAAAGCTCGACATCCTCCAAATCTCCATCAACGCTACTCAAGTCTTCTTCATCACCGCTGGGTTCCTCCTCGGATTCATCATCGCTCGCGGGCGCTGCCTGCTTCCGTGGAGGGGGAGGTTCTTGGTATCGCGCCTTAGGGGGCGCTTTCACAGGTCCGGCCTGCACGATTGAGAGCATTAGCATCATCGTCTCGAAGGACTCGCGCATATTTCCTTACACTAGATGCAAATAATAGGTCCAAAGAGGGGTCGATGGCCTTCTTATCTACCACAATTGGATTTTTGCTGACATCATGGACCTTGTCGCTGATTGTCTCCTTCTCCTCGATGCTTTTGCGACTTCGTTTACCCATATTGTCGTTGTTTGTATATTGCAGGTGTTCGGTTGAAGCTTTGGTTCCTGGAATTTTTTCGCGATAACGCAAGGAAAAAGATCCCAAGCCTAATCGCCGCACGGCCCTTGGCCGATCCAAACACGCCAAACTAGGTACCTACTCGTATACTTAGGGCTCACAACCTTAGTACAGGGAACTGTTAATGAACGCATTTAATAATGTTGGAGATACCATAGATAGCTCTGCATCAATTTCTACTCTATTCTTATCTATCAATCAGGTTCCTGGATACCGAGGTACATATGACAGGGTTTACTTTAGGTACTTTAGGGTCTTGCGTGCAGGCTTAGAGTAATCCAGTAGCCAATCCAACTGAATCGGGTGACGGGTTTCTGTTTCTGCCAGGCCGCGACTGTTTAGGGAAGTGCGATGGGGTTCATCGAGACAGCTCCCATTTCTACTCCGTAACCACCTACCACCCCATCAAGGCCCAACACACGGCTTTTTTCCCTGATTTACTGGGGCTCCCAAATCGCCATTTGTTCGCATCCATTCATACATGTTGCACATCTTTCCAAATTGTCACAGTCACTCTCCCACCGTTTGTGCCTTCAAATTGGGATCCTCGCGCACATCGTCCTCCCACACCAAACCCAAGACGCAACTCCACACGAGGTTATGTAAACACCACCGTGGAAACAGGCAAGACTGGGTTGGAACAACATCAAGCGCATTATGAGCGTCACTATGGATCAGGGCGCTGACGCTTTGCTGCAAGCTGCCCATGCAGCAGCTTCCCTGGAAGACGAGCTGAGCGTCGTGGACGAAGATGGATCCAGCAGTTTGAGCGAAATTGAGGACAAAGATGCCGATCAAGACGACGACGGCGAGGGTTCAGATGAGCTGAGCAACATGTCCGAGGAGGAGAATGATTCGGAAGCAGAGACAGAACGTATCGAGGAATCCCCACACAAATTCCGGGCGCAGAAAGACGTGGTTCTGAGCTCTCGCAATGACGACCACGGGTACGAACGAACCCCAAGCAAGCTTCACAAGGATTTCACGGCAGATGACGACGACGACGACGACGGACCATTGTCTGACGCCGATGTCTCCATGGGCGAGTCCCCTGGATCACCAAAGAGTTCTGCGCACGAAGATGCTGAGCCCGGACACACAACTGGGCCGACTTCCTTGGAAGACTCGTCGACCGAGAATAAGACCTCATACTCTACAGTGGAGTCCGACACTCGGAAACGGAAAAGGTCCATAATGGCGGGTAGCGGACTCGAAGAAGAGATTGGGGAACCTGTGCGCAAGCGTACAGGCTCTATCATGACACCTGGGGATGAATATGCGATCGAAGAAGACATCCCACAAGAAGAAGACCCGGACGCACTAAATCCCACAAGCGGAAATATATCTGGGGACGATGGCGGGGTAACCCACGAAGAAGAGGTGGTCGAAGAGGCCGAGGAGCACACAGCAGTAGACGAAGAAGCTGTTGAAACAGTCGACGTACCTATTTCTCCAAGGAAAAGAGGCCGGAAAAAGAAGAAGGGCACTGAGAACGGGGTGAACAATCATGTGGAGGACTTGGGACATCTGCCGGACCCAGAGGCAACTAAAAATGACGAAGGCGCTCGGCAGGCAGATGAGGACAACGCCGATAATGAAGGGGACGACGAAGCCGAGGCAGCTCAGAGAAATGAGGAAGAGCGTAAGTTCTGTCATTCTAACTATGAGGCGCAACTAACGAAAGTAGTCGAAAAGAAGCGCATCGCGCTCGATCAGTTGACTTCGATAGAGCGTCAGTTCTCCACTTTTAGAGACAGGTAAGGATTTTCGGTGTAAACAGAGCTTCAAATGCTAACTTTACGTTAGACTGCATGAAGAACGACTCGAGCAATTGAATCGCGAAGATGCAATGCTTCGTCAAGACCCTCCAACGCATCCAGAATATTTAGCGATGATGCGCTGTGTTGACGCCCGACGAGACGAGAGGATCCGAATTGCAAATACTTTGCGAGATTATCAAATAGAGTCCTTGAAACGATCTGCCGTCTCACACAGGAGCCAAATTCTCTCACAATACCAGCAGGAGGTTCGAGAAATTCGAGAAAAGAAGCAGGAACTACTTGGAAAGCAGTGGTATGAGATACAGCATGACAGAAGGAATCATGTAGGAAGCATTCCAGATTATACCTTGAAGTTTCCTACACGCAGGTCGCAGCAAGTCATGAACCAAGTAGCATACAGCAACGAGGTTTCTCTCCTATCTGGGATTGCCAAATATGTCGGATTCCCTGCAGCTCCAATGATGGCACCAGCAACCATGAGCGAACTCGAAGAGGATCTTGAGAAAATGGGGGTAAGTTTGTGCGCTCCTAGACTTGGGCTATGGGTACTGACCTGAGAATAGCGCACACGACACGCCCAACAAGTTCACCAAGGCGGAATTCCTCTCCAAGAGTTGGCTGCCCTACGTACAGCAGGCTCAAGCTCACGTTTTAAGCCTGCCGAAGAACAATTCATCGAACAGACGCCTTGGGCTAACCCACAACATCCCTCCCACGCCCATCTGCTTCAAAGGCAAACTTCAGCCCAACAGGTGCCCCGAACAACAAGCCCCTTTTCTTCTCAGCCTCAAAGTGCCCCCGGGAGGCACTCGCACCAGCAAGGAGCAGGCGTTCCGATCTCTGGTACTTTTTCAAGCTCAAATTCATCGTTACTCCAACATTCGAAAAGCCTTGCTATGTCTGGCGGTCTAATATCACCTCACAATCCTTTTAACTCTAGCCATTCTCATACCATTGTTCCATCACCGCTGGGAAGCCGACAAGCATCACCACAGCTACCACATTTAAATCGAGCGCCCCAAGCCGTGCCTAGCAAGGCTCAGCAGGACGAACCCAAAAGCAACGGTATACAACATTCCCCAACAAATGGGTTAACGGAAATACCTCGTGACTTTCCACCGGAAGTTAGGCGCGAGCAAGCGGCTGCCATCATGGGCCGTATTTAATTGGAATTTTATATGAATATCACGATGGACACATGGTGAAGGCGTTATTGTTTTAGTTCAATGAAGGCATATCGGAGTATCGGGGCTGGCGAAATACGGGACAGAATTAGAAAGACACAACTCAAATGGTCGAATTATCACGGGAAGCGATTGCATCGCATTTAAGCGTGTACTCATAATGTAAATATACCATTTACAACGTTGGATTGGTGTAGAGCGATCATGGTAGTGCATGCTGCCCTTCCGGCAGTTCTCAAAAAGACAAGTTTTATATTAAGATGTGGTTTCGTTGGAGGGGTGTTTTTGATTTCTGAGGTTTGACCGTGTAATCGAGACGACTCTTGGGATGTAGGAGTTTGAGGAAGTAAAGATTACTGTACACCAGCATGAATCTCCCAGAACTCCTGTAATGCGCCAACATATTTAAAACTGTGACAAAATGCATAATGTACCCATCCCCGAACCTGAAAATTTCCCATTGCTATTGTAGATCGGTTCCTTCTATTTTACGTCTGGGCCGGCCTGTGGCGCTGGAGGAACCTTCACATCTTCAAATTCGTCCTGGGATACTGCTCGGATGGTAAACGTGTCTGCGAGAAAATATAAGCCACTACTCGCTTTTTTATATACCATAATTGACTCACAAACTCCCAGGCAAAATCCCATTAACCCAAGTCCAGTGAGAGTATTTTTGATGAGGTATGGTCGCCGAGCACGGATGAGAGCGGCGGATTGTTTGTAATGGGTATCATAATACGATGATTTCGGTACACTGTCTCGCAGATCAGACGGTGATCGAGAGTAAACAAATTGACCTAGTTCTGGGACTTACATGGCCATGTTGACTGTTCTAGTTGTGTTGTGGTGGAGAGGTTGCGACTCTTGGCTTGATATTGCGTACAGTACAGTGCATACCCTCGCCGTAGGTGCCTTGCAGTGCAGGCTTCAATGGCGGCAGCTGCACTAAAAGTCCAATTGCGTCCTGGCAAGGTCGGTCGGCGCGGGTTCACAAGGCATCAAATCAAGCGCGTCTCCCAATCCATCAACACTTCAATTCCGACTTCACTCTCTGCCATCGCCATTGCCATTGCCATTGCCATCGCCATCGCGCATCCAGAATGCGCGGCCAGCTCTGGTCTTTACTTCCGAATTCTCGGCGACCCGTTCTTGACTATACCTGTATCAATTCTTCGTAGAGCTCCAATCCGAGCTATAGCTACAGCTACAGCTACTGTACCCGCACGACCATACCGACCATATCAAGTCCGCCATGGATACTCCTGCGCTCTCAGTTGAGCAGCAGATTCGCCTGCTGGAGGATGCACGCAAGATGGTACTGGGTGACCCTACCTTTTACCAACAAGTTCTGCAGGGCATTCTTCCTTTAATAAATCCTGCTGGTCGAGATGAGCCAGTTAGACCGGAATCTGCAAAGATAGACTTGCGACGATGGGGGGCCGATTTTCTTGCAGAAACCTTCGCCAGCCCTGCGGTTCCTGCACACCAAAAGGAGTCCCTGTGCTTGACGGTGCTAGAGGTCCTCAAATCTATCATTGAAAATCCCAACGAAGATGGCGCTGTGGTGAAAAGTATTGTGCAGACTGCCGCCAGCATATACCCCCTCGTTGTCAGATGGATGTACGTTGAACCCCGTGGCCTCTTTACCTAATTTCTTCTGGAGCCTTGTCATTTTGAAGGTACCGGCTGTATTTGCACATTAGTCTGGTTGATTCTGGCTTCTGTATTTTGATACTCTGGATCTTGAGTGAGACACGCCTTCTTTGTTTATAGTCTAACCTTGGTGTAATAGTATCAATAACTCATATGATGGGCCAACATGGGAGCGGATGCAAGCGATCAAGTCAAGAATATTACGAATATGGGACACTGCTCCTACGGGTGTACGAATAAGCTGCATCAAGTTTGCGCAACGAGTGGTGATGGCCCAGACTGTAGGACCAGAGGCTGATCCACGGGTATGAAGGACTTCTTTGATTTGTAAAATCCGTAAAACTGATTCTGATTTTCGTAGCGAGGTGACCCTATGGAAGTATCCCTCGGGATGATTCCTCCAACTCACCAGGTTCTTCATCTGCGGAATCTCGAAGCAGAAGCTACTGGTTTATTGGATAGAATGCTGGAGGTTTTCCAACAACCGACTAGGTGGGGTTGCCTTTTCCTTTCTTTGAGTACACCAGCTAACACCCAACAGTGATGCCGTCTTAGTTGATGCGACTTTGAACACCCTATCTATTCTCATCCGGAGTCGCCCTCAGTGCGCTAATCGAATTCTGAATGTGATTTTGAACTTCAACCCTCTCAAACAGGCCAACTCACCAATGACCCCCAAACTCCGTGTTATGGTAAAGTCAATGGAAAAGACCACTAGAATGTTGCTTTTGCACGTCAACAAACGGTTCGTCTCATGAAAAGTATAAAAACTGCCATATGATATACTGATTTATTTAGTGATCCGCACAATCCCCTAGCTCCCAGAATACAACAATACGTTGAGAGAATGATGCGGTCTCGAAATGAGATATTTGATGAGGCGAACCGCAAACGTGGTCCTCCGGAGCCTATCAATGGACTAGATGCAACTAAAAGACAGAAGCTAGATGCTCAAGTACCGATTCCTCGACCAAAATTCCACGTACCACCTTTGGCTCCAGGCCCTCACAGCATAGCCGAACTTTTTACAGTCACCACCGATGAGGGCCTCAAGATGTTCGATGTCTCTCAACTTTCTGAAGATATAGTCGTCAAAATTGGAATCACCATTTTACAAAAAATTAATGCCGATACTCTCAACCAGGCCGTAGCAGGCGTCCGGATGAGATACGATTCCATGAAAGCTGCTCAAGTGGAGCAGTTGAATCCAAATACCGCACCATTAGGAATAGAGGCTGAAGACGATGATGATGACTATGAACCAGACTTCTATCCGACAGAATACAGCGAACAAATCCTTAACAAACTAGATAGTGCACCTCCTGAGGTTGAGATGATGGCGAAAGCCCCTGACATGGCTCCTGGCAATTTCATTCTTCCACCGCCGCCAACAATGACGTCCGACGAAGTTGCTCAAATCGGTCAGGGCACGGTATCTCGTGTTTTTGGCGTCATGCAAACGTTGGAAGAGCCAGGGAAAAAATCCAAAGCCGGGCTGAATCGACTTGCTGCTAGTGCTTGTGACCGTGATGATTGGATCACAATCATCACACGGCTGGCAACGCGATCCGTCGCAGGCCTTGAAGAGTCTGACTCTGTTAAACCCGAGGCTGTTCACACTACCTTTTCACTCAGCAACAAAATACGCGAGTCGCTCTATATGTACGTCTTGGAGGATTTCAGAAAAAGAATCGACATAGCAGTAGCTTGGCTTTGTGAGGAATGGTACAATGATCAAGTCCAGATGAAGCTTGGCGAACAGAATGTCATGCATTACGAGAAATGGGTTCTGAAGGTCCTCGATGGGATTTTGCCTTATTTGGATGCTCGAGATAAGGTGTTGACTAGATTTCTCAGCGAGATTCCAGGTCTAAGTCTTGAGGTACTTGCAAGAGTCAAAGCTATCTGTCGTGATCCTGCCATGGTCAGCTTGGCTTTGACGAGTCTCCTCTATTTGGTCATGATGAGACCGCCTGTTCGTGAAATTGCGTTGGATGCGGTGGAGGACATTTGGAATAATTGTAAGTTTTTGTTAAGCTTTCGGTGGAATTTCTCGATACTAACGATTTTCTAGATGAGGACGCAAAACCTATAGCTGCGAAATACCTCACCAGATGGCGTCCTGGATTCGCGGAAAGATTAAAGGGGGCGGAGGGCGAGGAGGAGAAGAAGTCGGAGGTCGTGGCAGTTGCGGCCACGTAAAATGTACATGTATTTCTATTGCTTGCCACGTACTCGAGTACAAGCTGAGCATCATTTGGGCGGCGTTATGGAACTATACCAATTGGCGGCGTAGCAGCGTCGGTGGGAGGAACCAAAAGTTTTCAGACCGGGGGACGATGGTTGCGTGTAAAGGTGTAAAATACGGATGCGGATTTCCCTCATCATTGATGACTCGTAGTAATACCCAGACAGACATTTCAGTCAAAGAGATACCTTTCTGGCAACCACTTTGCTCCTTTTGTTGAAAAGTTATCGGGTGATGTTTTCATGTTGTGATGGCCCAGTCTAGGATCATACTCGAATACCTCAGTAATCATAGCATATTGGTGCCAGGCAAAATGCCTGTTCACAGCGTAAAGTCATTACTTGAACCAACCATTGTTTTTCTTTTTATTGCGGAGAAACAATATACTGGAGCTCGCGTCTTAGCCAACGAAAACAGCTGCCAGGCGGGAAATTGTTCCGTAACATGACAGTAATGGCATTAGGATTCGTCCATGAGAGTACAGTATGCACATATACTGGTGCATACAATTGTAAGAGACCTATCCATTACATGCAGTACTCTGGATATACCAAGGTTAGAATAGTATTGTCCTAAAAGCCTCGTACAGCTCAAATAGTCATACAAGCGATCTAGAATAACCAAAGTCAATAGATCTTTATTAATATAAGTAATCTGGGACAATCGAGTTGCTTATATAAATAATTCTAGCACAATCAATTCTTAAGGTGTGTCCAGACTCCAGAGTACAGGATCTGGACAGCTCGGTTCTCCTCCCTGTATGGGTACGACTTGTTATAGGCAGGGTATAACCCCACAATATAGTTCGATAAGCCAATTGGATTGTCCGGTCCATGTGGAGGTATATCAGAACGTGACAAGAGGGGGAGACTCGAGCTGCCCAGACCCTTTAATGGACAGGCCTCTTGCGGAGAGTTGACGTTGACTTGTGATGGATTGGCAATGGGCAATGGGCAATGATGCGCGGGGGAAAGGGCAGATCCTCATCTTACCCTGGGTGCTGCTCAGTGGATTAGGGTTCGAGGGTTGGCTATTTTCTGATACTTGGAGGGATCTTGCATGCATGTGGCAGCGCGCCAACTCGCAACTCCCGCACCAGGAGGCAAACCTAAGGACTCCTGCTCCTGTTCTGCACAGTAGCGCTCAGATGTGTTTCATGAGGAAGCCAGCTTTCTTGATTACTATATCAGGTGTGGCCTAGTGGACGAGAGTCATGGACGTGGTACAGTAGCACCGTAGTACTGCATTCACACTGCCCAGCTGCTCTGTATGTGAAATGTATGAATCCGCAGCGCCTTGATCTTAGGCGGAGGTTTGCGGTTCATGGGGTGCATTTGATATGGCACAGGGGTCTGGCTAATCAGAGGCGGATGCTGGCCTGGGTCAGGAGGAGCTGCAGGTCAGAGGTGGAGGTGTGTTGACGTTGCTAGGTAGACAAGTGCAGGGTTCTGGTAAACCTCCTAACCTTAACCGATTCTTCTCCCAACATCTCAATAATAACCTCGCCAACCGCCAACCGCCAACCGTTCCAAACAAACCACCATCACCATCACCTTATTTAGGGACACTCTGACACACTCATTCCTTATTTTGCTTCGATGCGTGACATTCTTTAACTACCGGCACCTCCACCTCCCTCCACTGATTTGCTTCTGCTGCTGAGTTCTTTGTGCCAGCCTTTGCCTTCTGCAGCTTACCGTACAGATCGGTCAGAATCGCACTGCCAGAGAGAGTTGTGAAAATACGGGTCGGCCAGACACCGCGATGCGCAATACGGAGCGTGCGAGAAACCTATTCAGCCCCAGGTCAATCCTATAAATCGCATATTTACGAAGACAGAGGTCCTGTTGGTACGTCGATACTGCTGCTGCTGTTGTTATCGCGTTCATTGCATTGCGTTGCGTTGCTTTCCCGCGGCCCAATTACCTCATACCTCACCTTGCGAACCGATCATGGATTTCCTGCGAACCCGCTCCCGCAAGACCCTGAAGAAGCCCAAAAGTCCAAAATCCCCGGACTCCACCTCTAGTCTGCGCAGCGTTGCGGAAGACATGGCAGCTAATAGCTCACCCATAGAGTTCCACGACGATTCTTCTAGAAGCAGTGAGGACGCCCAGCTGCCACCCTATGAACCTACAGAATCGCTCTCTCCAGTGTCGAAGAACGCCATGAATGCTCTGAAGATCACTTCAAGCCCAACCCAAGACCACAAGAACAGTCCGCGGAACAGTATAAGAAACTCTCCTCATACGACAATTCGGTCCGTGACCGCCGATGCCGTGCCTCTAGCTTCCATCTCCAACGAAAGCGATCGAACGACGCCCACCAAAAGCGAGAAAAATAACATGCCTCACGCCACAAAACCTCCTGCCATATCCACCACCCACTCAAGCCCTCCTCTGTCATGGCAAAACTCAAATGCGATGCCAGTCGGGAACGGCGTAGTCCGCTCTATTTCGTCCGAATTTACCCTCACAAGAAAGTACTCCAACAACAACCTACACCTAAACGAAGAGAATGCTGCTCCCAATGGCAATGCATTAGCACCTGGGCCACAGGCACCGATGCAACAATGGAGCTCTGCGGTTGGTCGAGCGAATTTGGGCAAATCTGGAAGAGTTATTGATAGACTGATGAGCGAAAATGATATGCTTAAGCGGGATCTTAATATCGAACGCCTAAACACGGAAGAATCAAAACAAGCCCTTAGAATGGCCGAAGCCAAGATGGAGCAGATGGCACAGGAATTTGAGAGCCGCCTCCACGAGGCATCGGTCCAGAAGACCCTACTCAAGCGAAAAGAGAGACAGGTTGAGGACATGAAGGGTCTGATCGACGTGGAAAAACGGAAGACTGAAGCTGCCTTGAGCACCGAGCGTACATGGAAGGAGGAGCTTGAAAAGACACAGAAAGAAGCCAGGATAAGGGTAGAGGAAGCTGAGAATTACGCTGGATTGATGGAGGGCAGAGTCTCGGCCATGTCAAGTCATTGGAAGGATCAGGGCGCATTACTTCAGAAGTCAGTCCGGGGGTTGGAGACTGAAATTAAAACCCTGTGTGAGGAACGAAGAAACGACGATCAGAAGATCAAAACTTTGAACGGGATTTGCGACCAACAGAGGACTGAATTGATACGCCTCAACGAAGAAAAGAATAGGATTTTCGACTTGTTCGATACTTATAAGAAGGCTCAAGAGGATGGCTTAGTCGACATCAAGAAACACGCCAAAGATCAGGCAAAGTTGAACGAGTCACTAATCGACGAATCGAAAAAGACCCTCGGGGAGTTGAGGTGGGCACTGGCGGTAAAGAAGAATGTCAAAGATGCCCAGTAAAGCTCTTCCTCTCTCGCAAATCATTTGCAATAACTCGGGATCTTCTTTGGCGTTCAGAGGGGGCATGTCATATATTGTACAGCATATTAACGGGGGACATGAAGATCCTTCTTTTCCTTTGTTGCCCTGACTCTCTTTCTGGGGGCAGGCATATAGGAGGGAGTATTGATTTTACGACCAAAACGCATATTTTGTGTGGTTCTGCGGCTGCTTGGATAAGAAAAGATCCTCTAGAACTTTGGGCAGGAGATAGCTGCTCAATTGCTTGTTTTGTCCCTTCTTCTTTTCCTTGTGTATGCATTTGATGGGAATGGTGGGCATCTTATGCCCCAGGGAGTTATTGGGAGCATGGCAGCTCATTCTTCTTTTTCCTTCTATGTGGATTTCTTTTTTCTTTCGTGTTAGACCATCCTCTGGGCTTGTGTGGTTCTGGTATGGGTGCGGCGATTCTGAAGGGCCGGAGGCGATACAACAATCTCCATGTAGAAATATTATTTTTCTAGGGATTTGGGAATATTGGAGTGAAATACATGGATACTCTCTTTTCTTCATTTGTCATTCTCTTTTTCCCCTTTCTTTCTTTCTTTCTTTCATTCTTGCATGTGGATGGATCGCATGACATGGGTTGTATTTACTTTCCTTTTTTTTACAGTTGTAATCTAGGGCTTCTTGTAATGACTTTATGAGCTGGCACTTACTACACTTGTTGTTTCTTTACTTTCCTTCTGTTGATAAATTCCTTTCTGTGGACTTTGATTTTCTTTGGGGTTGTGGTCAGCTCAACTTTTTTTTCCCTTGCGTGGATTAGGGGATTAAGGGGAGGTTTCGGGGTGCGATTTTGTACTTGTAAGATGTTCCCTTCCTGAGTTTAGCTGTCCATATGGTCTGGATGGTTAGCACTTTGATAGAGAGAGAATTGAAAAGTTGTTAACAACCTGAAAGGGAATTTAGAGGGTGTGATGGGGAGAGATTGAGTTTCAAGGATCTTTGAGACCTACTATTCAAGTAAGGAGTGAAATGATTATTTAGATGGAGATGGGCTTCTCATGGACCTTATGGAATTGAGGTAGAATTAGTAGTTCGGCAGGGCTGATATGGAAGGTGTGACTTGGTCACACGCGAGTTCTTAATCGACGGCATATTGTCATATCGACATTGAGGCGAGATCTATTTGGTCAAGAAAGAGAGGCAAGAGGTATTTGGCGAGTTTTCCCCTTCCTATCACCTGTACCTGTACTCACTATAATGTCCTTGAGAGTCCCTAGGTATTTGTTGAGGAACGTGTGCCAAGGCTCGAAGTTAGATCCGATCTAGCAGGATCTAGGTGCCGGAACCGTTTGTAGCTTGCTGTTTCGGCTAGGAATATACTGGCATGTTGGCAGGGAGTTGTAGCGTTGAGCTAGAGAAGACTAGACTTGCGGCTACATCTTGAATGTTGCTATCCGATATCGTAGGGTCACATTGTGGGTACTGGGGTTGAGGACCTGACAAACTTCCAAGCAAACAGTCTAGACCCAAGAGCAAGGCGAAGTCTAGGTAATTGCAAGCAATCAATCAGAGCATACAAGAGGTGAGTTCCTGCCACTTTTGATGGACAAATAACTGCTGAATTTGGAAGCTGAGCTTGAAGCTTTGTTGAACCACCACTAGTGGCTATACTTGAGAAGCAGTGAAGGCTACGATCTACTCAACGTCAATTGATAGCTCTGGCTATTCAACGCCCTCTCTCCTCCTATCAGCAGCCCCCAAGATCCCTGCTTGCGGAGGTCGGAGCACCCTTTTCAACCATTCCATATATCATCTCACTTGAAGAGACAGAAAGGCACGCATGCATGTCGTTTGATTTTGATATACAAATCAAAAGTAGACAATCTTCTTTTCAAGATCGATTCCCCCAAGGTGAGCATTAAACAGATTCTACAATTATACCTATTTTACAAGACCCGTTTGCAAGAGAAAGCAGGAGGACATCGATCTTGTTTTGAGAATCTTGTTCACGTGCTCGTTATACTAAACTGCCCTCCAGCTGCATGTGCAAGTGCGTTGCATGCTCTCACTGGGTCTTGATCTCCTGCTCCCTGCCCAAATCATAAGCTTATAGCGTGGCTAATCCGTTCGTGCAGCTCTGACGCCACCTGATATATAGCCAAGATCGATTTGGGAAGATTACATCTTCAAGCACAATTAAACCCAGAAGCACAATCAGACACACATCTGAAGGTGAATCCAACAAAGTGCCCAATTTCTCTCGCCGCTATAACAATTTCAGGCCCCGATTCGACTCCCCGAGGCGTTGCAAAAGCTGATTGGGCGAGCCGGCTATATCCTCCCCCTCTGCCTCCTCCCCGGTTGCTCCGTCGCATCTGCACTTTTCCAAACAGCAACCACCAATCGACCTTTCCCCCACCTGCACCCGACGTCTCTTGTTCAAGACCGGTCACTCTCCCTTCGCAACCAAATACAGCAACCTCCAACCACGATCTGATTTGGCTTTGCATTGGCAATCACCATCAGCCAAATCATCCACCATGGCGTCAAATGCAGGTCGTCAATCTTCCAGTGGCTCTGGCACACCAGCGCTCTCTGGCTCGACTGCGGGCCACCGACTTCCCTCGAAGGAGGTATTCTTTGCTTCCGAATGGTACTTTCTTTCCGCTGGTAGAATTGACCTATGCGCGCGGTACAAGAAGCTCCTCCACGAGCATCTTAACATTGTAAGTGCAATTCTCCCTCCCCCTGGTTTTTTCACCTCTTGCGCACTGTATCCACGCTTTGGATCGATGCTCTCTGCTATCGGTGGGGACTGTGGCAGTGCCTGAATGCCTGCTAACTATTTGTCAGCCTGAGCAGCAAGTTCTTAAGTGCAAGTGGAATGATAATACGCACTGCTTTGAGATCACTTGTCATCTCGAGATCGCTGACATTGCCCGGCGCCTCTTCGTGCAAGCTATGGATGGTATCATTGTAGAGGAGCTTGCCAAGAATGGCATCAATGAGCGTCAAAAGCGCAGAGGTGGTGCTAATGACAGCGACTCCGAATGCTCTTCGGATGAGGATGATGACTCCGATGTTACTTCTGATTTCGATGCCAACTATAATGGTGACATCATCTATGAAGCACTTCCTGTAAGTTATCCCTAATCTTATTTAGCAGAACTTTCCTGACAGCTGTACAGATTCGTGGTGACAAAATTGTACGTCTTGCTGTTCTCAAGCAAGAGCGCGCTTTAGGAAGTGGTGGCTCCGACCCCAATTCAGGCTATCCAGAAGTGATTGCTTCTGCCAAGCAAAAGTTTGTATGGTACAACAAAAATTCGGCTGACTTGGAATACATTCTACCTCCCCATGTTGTTGACCAACTCATCAAATTGACTGGATGCAAAGTCTTCGTTGATTTTGATACTTCAAAGGTCTACCTTGGTGGCGTTGACGAAGAGCAGATTCACCGGGCAGTCTCTAAATTAGACAATATCAGAAAATACTCGGTTAGTTCCACTGAATTCACTTTGCTTGACTTTCTCTCTAATGCAGTCGTAGCAACCACAACTTTCTCCAATCTACCATGCCTTCTATACTGAGTCGACAGATGATTTTGAGCTTTCTCTCAAATATCTGAACGATGTCAAGATCGACAAGAAGAGAATGTTTAACACTACACTTCTAGATCCCTTGAACCCTCGAGTGGGAGATATTTACACAGCAGTCACGGTTCGCTGTGCTACCCTGGACCTCGGCAAGGATACTTATGTAGCCGTTTCCAGAGTGCATGCTACTGGCATCGACCCGATCGTTGGACATGTGCGGGAGCAATGGGCCAATTTCTTATACAACCCGACGGGAGCACTGGACCCCATGCGGCATGTTAACGGTAAACCTGTGGCAATGCCCAGTCCATCCAATCCCTCTATTGCGACAAGAATTAACTCACAGAGCCAAGTATCCCCCGATATTCTCAATGTCACTAACGATGCTCAATTGCCCGTCGAGGAAAAGATCGGAAATTGGCGAGCAAACTTGGAAGGACCTAACGTCTCTCGAAATGATTTACTTGTCGATAACTCTAGTATGTATTTCAACTTTCCCGTACTTTCTGCGTATTGCCCAGGACTAACTATTATTAGCTGTACCTGTGCCTAACCCTTCCTGGGACCGTTGCGAAGGATCCGAGGAGCCACATTATGGCAATCTAGTAACACCCAATTCCCAGAATCTTAGCAGACACGCTTCTGTCCGAACCACGCATATGCAAAGCCTCCCGCGCATGTCACTCAAGCCTTCAGCTGTCACGGTGAGTAACATGTGTACGAGAGATTACCCCGAACTGACAGTGTTTTAGTCCCATACAAGTATTACCAATCAGCCCCCACAGGCTTCCATGACAATGGCTCAACATTTGGCGGTCTCGAACGGAGGGCCAGTCAATCCCGAGGACTTTCCTAGCCTGCCTGAACCCGCTTCTCAAGCCAAAGGCCGTTCTGGGGCTCCTAATGGTGGCGTCATTTCCATCAAGGCTAACGGAAAAGTTTCCACCCCAGCTTCAAGCCGTCCGAAGCCTGTCACAACAATTAAGAGCGGCAATATCAAGTCAGAGGTTAGTCCCACGAAGCAAGTAAACGGAACTGCAACGAGAGCCGCAGAAACAAACAAAACATTTGTGGTAAACAATGATGCCAGTCCAACTGCATCAGAGAGACAAGTGATTGGTGGAAACATTATGGTCATTGGCGGAACCGTGGTGCCAGAGCATCGTAGCCATATGCCTCAGTCTATTATGGACCAGGACATTGATGAATTGCCGAGTTTGCCGTCTGTTCTCCGGCCCACATTCCACAATACGCAATCTCAACCCAATGGGATCCAAGCCCCTGTCCAAAGCCCTAACAATGTAGCATCAAATAGAAGCGAAGTCACAGTGCAGGAAGCCGACCAGTCGTTGCTTGAGATTGTTCAAAGAGAGCCAGAGGAACTAAGTAGAGATTACTACTTGACAATGAACCAGAAGGCTCCAAACAGACGAGCAGCTGGCAATCAGAGTAAGAAGAATGTCCCGTTCGCTGGTCGGCTTGAAGTTCCCGACTTTATTGCTCCTATTCGTCCAAGATCTCATGTTGCTCGTCCCATTGCAAGCAATCCAGATCCAGATCCGCTTCCTCGATTTGCCTCAGAAGTCAATAATTACTTTCCACTGCTTCTTGCCGACGTCCGAGGATTCAACGGTAGGGTTCATATCCGTCTTGAATTTGGCCGCATCATGATCAACAATGTTAAGCAGTCTCACATTGCCGATAGAGACGGTTCCAGTGGTACTTTGACCGAGAGAAATTTGCAAAACATTCTTAATACTTCTCAATACAGAAATAGCGTCCCCACAAATACTTCATTTACTAACGCCCTTACCACGGCCCCCGAAGAAGTCGACTTTCTTCTGACGACCAAGTCGAAGGAAAGCTTGATTTGGAACGGCAAGTGTGATAGCTGGGGCGTTATGTACAGACTCGTCTTTCATGATGTTGAGTTGCAATCCCGATTCTCTGTTGAGATTGACGGCGAGAGATTCAAGGCGAAGATCAGAACCCAGCCCCAGCGTGATTTTGGTGAGATCTACATCCATGGTACCAAGCGGCATTGGGATTGCCGAATCTCCGTTACAGGAGACGATGGCGATACCAATCCCTTATACAAGGATAGATACAGTGCCTTGGTAAAGAAGATTCTTGATACATTGTACATCGTGTAAGTGACGACCCATCCACTGCAATAATTGCAAAACAACTAACCAGTCTGTCAGTTCTGGAAAGGAGGCGGAGGTCAGATTTGAGATCGATCCTGTTACTTCCAAGCAATTCCAACTTGTCTCGATCCAAGTTTTCAGAAACACAATGTATCAAAGCAATGACGGTCGTTCTGTGCTGAAGATTCAAGAGATTATTAAGATGCCACCACCGGGTAGGGCTACAATCGACGATCATGTTGTGTTTATCGCAAACGAACAAAGCAACCAATCTACTTCTGATCTCAAGAAATGGTTTGTTGTTTCCATTGAGAGCAACGAAGCTAATCAACTCGTCAAACAAAACGAGAGCATGGAGTTGGGGGAAGAGGCCGGCTGGACACCTGAGACAATGGCAAGCGCTGGAGTTGCGAAGGACCTGTACCTGCCTGCTTGTGCCATGTTGACTAGCATGTGTGGAGTTGGGATCAATAACGGAAATGGTCTTGTTGCTCGTAAGAATCCACGAACAGTAGCTCCTCCAGGAGAAGCGACAAAGGCGGTGAGTTGTAATCTCTCTTGTATAATTTGTTCTCATATGATCTTGTGAGCTAACTTGATGGTTTCAATTAGACGTGGTGGTAAAAAGCAAGAAGTTCTGGATTCAACACCCACCGCAAGAAAACGCACATTTCCCTCTCTTTGCGACTGATAACTTTCGCATTGAGCCAGGAAGAATTTGATATACATGTTTCAATCGGTTTGCATTGGTCGATATTCGCATCATTCCACCACTCTAGCCGGAATACAACACTCTTTTGTTAACGATTCCAAGATTCGTGGGTGTTTTCACTGCGAAAAGTCCTTGCTTTATTGATCGACTACATGGAGAATGGATATGCTAGCATGGTATTTGTAGATTATTGATGTGAGCGCTTGGTTTTGCATTTACCGACCGACGCCTTCGTCTGCAACCTGGAAAGGATTTGATGCAGATGGTCTCTGTTGGGAATGTCAACCGCTCTGCTTCCAATGGGTCTTGCTTTTAGTTTTGCTTTTAGTACTTGATTGAATGGATCATGGTAGCTAGCCGACTTTACGTCGTTGATTCAATCGATTTACGTTTAAGAATTGGTCTATCTTCTTTGCAATTGTGATAGTGACTGTACGGTTATAACATATACGGTTCCTTAGGAACAAGAACGCGAAATAGCAACGAGGGGCTTCGCTTCGGACAGTCGTTTTCTTGGATTCTAAATATTGGTTTATCTACAGTCTATGTTGGCGTGATGTACCTGGCAGCAGAGAAAATGTGAGATAGATTCACACTACTGTATGCATGTAGCCTTCAACCTTTCTACCATACCACTTTTCCATATTTTTCTTCCTACTCTTCCTACTCTCGAGTCTCTTCTTACTCTTTTCCTCTGATCTCCTACAGTACCTGATGTCTTTAATCTCCTAGTCTCCTAGACTCGTACTCTCGACGCTTCCTTGTTCGATCACCTAGACGCTAAGTCTTCCTACTCTCTCTACTCTCCTACTACTACCACGTTCCACAATTCTTTCGCCGCTCTCCTAGACTCTTGGTATTACTGCTAGCTCACTTCATACACGTCCGTGATATACTAGAGAACTCTGACTAGATGGTTAGAGGGTTAGACTTGGAGTTAAGTACCTTGGTGAGATGGGTAGGGAGAGAGGGAAGGATGAGTTGAGTTCAGGAGGGAGAGGGGGATGGATGGTTCTTTAGTTGTTTGGTACAGAGAGAGGAAGAGAGGTGTTATTTACTTATTTACTTACATCTCTTCTCGCTTCGCTCAGGACATACAGTAACATACCTGTGAACAACCACTGTCATTCCAAGTACCAAGCAGAGCAGCGAGAAAAAAATGAGAAGAAGCTGCTGATTTCCTAACTAAGCCAGCAGACACCTGCAACACCTGCAAGGAGGGGGGAAGGCAAGTCACCCAATATGCTACAGAGTTGTAACCACTAACATATGTCCAGGTCATAAGGCCATTGCTTGTAAGAACCCTCGTAAAGTCGGATACCTTAATGGAGAGAGGAGGGGTACTGGGGGTGGATGTCGTTGTATGGAGATTGTGGGATGGGTAGATAGATGGGATGGAGAAGTGGATGATGGAGTATTAGATCTGGCCATGGATGGGTCGCTATCTATACTCCGTCAATACATGGACCGCAAGAATGAAGTGAGTGAGTGAAATACCCTAAGATAATGATAATGGTAATAATCAATCAAGTCTGCTACCCCACCCTACAATGTCACAAACTTCGACCATGTGGCCTGTGTGGATTCTTCGATAACCACTGTATGTACTACTTACATTCCTTCATCGTTAGTTCAAATAATCAAAGGTCCTCCTCAAGGTGGTATATTAAATATCCACCATCGAATACCCATGTATATCCCTCACAAGTACAAACCACAGTCAATCCACGGTTCTTACCTAGAAAACGACGAGAAAGGGAAAAGGATAATCAGTCCCACGAGTCATAAGGTATAGGTACCATATATATTCCAAACAACTCTGTGTGTATTTATGTATATCTGTATATGTACTATCCATAATCACGATATCGAGTGATTCGTGATATCGATACTGCCCGGCTAGCTACCTACCTACCTATAGTACGAGAATTAATCACCAACTCACCCGCAACCAGCAACCAGCTAGCTAATCAGCTTACCAGCAACCAACCCCAATCTACCTATCCTGGCCGAACCAAACCTACCAGACCTACCAAGCTGCAAAATTAACACCATACAAAACATCACAACTAAGAAAGCAGACCACAAACAATGCCGAAGCCGTTATCATAAGCGAACTATCGCTCGTCTAACACATACATGCCTATTCATTCATTCACCCATTCACAAGAGAACCAAAGATGAAGGAGAAGAAAAAAATCTAATTGCTCGCTCATTATCATATCATACTCCCCACCCTTCATTCAAAGAACGCCACTCCATGCCATGCCATGCCATTTAATATCATGTGTGCTCGTAGTAGAAAGTAGAAGAACCGAGGATCGAGAGCCATGGGCCCGGTATTGTATATATAATGTCTCTTTTTGAGTTTGATAAACCAATGATTGCCGGGTAGACCAGAAAAATGAATGCACATTCCATGTTCCTTCTGGGGTATGTGTATATATACGGATACTTTTGGTGTTTTGGGAAGAACCCCCATTACTGTATGCAATGATGTCGTGTTATATTTATCGAATATGCCGCAAAGAATCCTTTCGACCCTCTCATGTCGCTAGGTCCTTTCTTCGCCCTTATGTCATTCGCCGTGTTTCTTCCTTCATCCCTTTTGCCTGCCTTGTCCTGTATGACAGGCGTATTCATATCATCGTTTCAAAATGCCACGCTACCAGCTCTCTCATGCGCTGACCTGCCTGTATTAGTAGTTTGTTGGGCAATCCATTCGAGGATAGCCTCATAGCATAGGACGTATTGCCTAAGACTTTGGACCATGCTCAATCGCTGGCCTCTAAAATCTTCGACTGTCTTTTCAATCAGATCCAGGTCTTGATCGAAAATCCAGTCGCTGTCAACCCCGACAGACTTCTTCTTTCCTTTGCCCATGTAATCTCCATCATGAGAAGTCATACCCTCCATGGGTGTAATGCCACTCGTGATTTCTTTTCGTTGGCGTTTCAGCATATCGATAACGGAATCGATGGTACAGAAAGTACCCGTACGCCCACATCCAGCACTGCAGTGGACGAGTATTGGTCTTGGAGCTTCGTTCATTTCCGGATCATCGGAACGGGGTGATGAAGTTGATGAGGCTGCGGCTCGTTGCATAAGATTGGTGAGTTCAACTAGGTTCAAAAGTTGATCTGAACTTGCCGGTGCACCAAAATCGGGCCAGGAAGAGTAGTGTACTTGGGTTATCTCACGCATGGGAGAAAATGGTTGGCCAGAATGTGACAAAGTGAACTTCCGAACAATTGCATGAGGAGGTTCTTGAGGTAGTGGGGGAGGGGCGTTCTGTGAAGTGGTTGCGGCTCTTCTTCGACCACCACCCCCACCACCTCCAGAACCCCCACTATCTCCACGATTGGCAGGTGGGCGATGGTGCTTTCTGGAGTCGAGGGATATTTTCTTCTCTGAAAGACCTCTTAGCTGTAGGGGCCCAAGTTGTTGGTTCTCCCAGTACTGGTGGCATTTTAAACGCCCGTCCTCCTTCTCCGCTGTAAGCATTACAATGACTCTGACATCTTGATCCCAAACCACGCTCCAAAAATCCTGCCAATTGTTAGTTTGGTAAAGATATTACTTGAAAGCAAGACTTACTTCAAATGTCGCAGGAAGAGGCCCCTGCGATGCAATATATCTCTTATTACTCCTTGATGGATGGATATGACTAGCATTGACATAATCGCAAGTGCCTTCTGGACGATTTTGTAGTTTGACTCTAGCATGCTCAAAGGGCCAAATATTATTGTACCGATTTTTACTGCCCTTCTCAATTCCAGCGATCTGGACATGTTTGGAATCTGCTGCTGGCGTTCCGTACTGCACTTCATTAGAAAGAGCCTTGGTCATCCTGGACTGCTCAGCGAGCTCAAGACGTAAGAATTTGTCGGCCACTTTCTTGCCATGATCCTCTTTCGCGACAACAGCGGAAAGCCATGCTGGTAACATCTTCGGGGTCGATTCATGGAATACGTCTGGCACCTTAAGATCTATTTGGCCCACGCCATCTATCAAGTCCGTATTTTGTCGTATGTTACCAAAGAAGGGATTCGCGGCGTCTTTGGTTGCTGGCATTTGGCAGCCGCCGGCGACCGGAGCTACGGGAGGCTGCGACGAAGTTCCGAGCGACAAAGTGATTTTAGATGTTTTGTTGGTATCTTGGGATGATTGGTCATCGATGAGATTTGGACAATGTCTAGAAAATTGTGCAAATCCTCCCCGCAAAATGTAGCTTGTACCCGTCCATCCTTCATTAGCGAATTTCTGTAGGGTATTTACAGCCGATAAAGCATCTTTCTTCTCCATAGAATGAGAGTCATAAACAATGATATATTTGGTGTTTCTCCATTCTGAAAATCTTTCCTTATCAGCATCTGTACTGAAGGTATCCTGAAGTTTTCGAAGGTTAAACGAAGGTCTTTTCAATAAAGTGGTGGGAATACAGAGATTGAGTGCGCCCTGAATGCGAGAAGCGGCATACTGAGGGGAAACACGAAGGTCCAAAAGGAGGTATTGTGAAGATGGTAAACGTTCCAACAAATCATGCAGCTGAGAGGGCGTTATCAAGGCTGGGCCTTCTTCTAATGAAGCGGGTAAGGTATCTCCACGGGACTGCGTCTTCTGCAGAAGCCGTACCTGTGGCGATGGGGGATTAGCCCTGTTTTGGGGCAAAGATAACCGAGGATGTCTATCATCGACATGCGAGAGTGTATCTCGCGGTGTGGGAGGATTCAGAGGGGTGATAGTCAAAGGAGATTGTTGACGAGGAAGATCGAAAAAGGATGGAGTAGGTAACGCTCTGGGAGGGGTAGGATAATGATGGCCACGGGTGCCATCGAAATCCATACGTTCAGGCCTCGCCTGTGACATTGGGGAGATGGGAGAAAGGGGGTCATCATTGTCGGTTTTTGATGGATTTCGTTCCGGTTTTAGGCGTCCATGAGACCCCGGCGTAGAGGCAAAATGGGATAGATTTCCATGCCCCAGATTGAAACCCTTCCCACCCTCTGTCTGCCTCCTAAAGGCCTCGAACTCGGGATTGGCGTCGAGCGGTAAATGTTTTGGTGAATCTGCCCCAAAAGAGACAATCGATGACGTCCCACCCCAGTTATCTTTTGGGCCTACTGCAGAAGCCCTAGAATCGCTTGCTGGTTCCACAATGAGGCCGAAATAATTCGGACTTGGAGTTCGAACGTCAACATTTCCAGGCGTCCGTAGATGTGGAGGTAAAGGCTGGCCGACGGAGGGAGGAATTCTCGAGGACGGACTCAACGGAGTCGTCGACGGCCGCATTGCTGTTTTATGGGGGGTTGTCTGCGAGGTGGAATGGGTGTGGGAGGAAGAGAGCCTTGGGACGGGTCTTGTTACTGTCCTTGCTACCATGGCGCACTTGGAAATGTGATGCGCTAATGCTGGGAGTGTGAGGAAGGCGCGAGTGAAGTTGCAAATGTTAAAACGACAGGGTGCTCCAAAAAAATATGGGGGATTCAGCTATGGCAGAGCATTCATATTGGCCACCGTTGATATGGATATTATGTTTTAGATTCTGAGTTCAGTAGTGGCAGATGACCGTTGTCAAGGTCCTTCGTTCTTCGTCCTTCGTATACGAGTAGGGCGCGGGCTTGGTGTTTGTGGTCGGACTCGATATTTGACTGGTTCGATGACGACAGGCTGAGGCGACCAAATCGAGGTCTAGAATTCTAGAGCGGTGGGAGGCGAGGTGAATGAGGCTCTTTTGAGAGGTACCAGTACCCGTCCTCGGGTGTGGGCAGGGCAGATGAGGATCAGAGCGGTGGCAGTGAAGGTCGTGGTCGTGGTCATGGTCGTGGTCGCGGTCGTCGTATATTCGTACTGCTTTTTCTCAGGGTCCAATATTCGTCGCAACTTGGGTGTATGAGAGAAGAATGGCAGCAGGCTTCCGCCTTTTAGAGAGGGTGCAAAGAGGAGGCGACAAGGGAAATGGCAGGGAGGCGGAGTGGGGTGTAGTGCCTAGTGCCTAGTGCCTAGTGCGTAGTATCTAGTTTCTAGTGCCTAACAGCGAGAGTTGAGGGCAGAAAGGTTGTGTTGTGTGTACTCGTAGTATGGAATGCGAATGCTCGTGTGGTGGGTTGGAGAATACGAAAGAAAGATATAACCAGACGCAGACGGCGATGCAGCGGACTACTCGTACGCGACGACCTACTCAGTTCTCCCACCCTAGGGCCCGGCAGTTGGCTGGGGAGGCCTGTGAGATCGAAGGTATGCGACGTGTCGGAACTGTATTTAGTACTGGGTCTTGGTAGCGTTTGTAAAGTAGGCCGTAGACGAGGGACGGAATAGGCAGTTGATAGTGCACGCTAGTAAGTTTATTCATTGGCAGACGAGTCGAAGTGCTTATACTGGATCATGAAGGGGCGGCACTGGCACTGGCATCATTTTCGCATTATCTCAACGCCTTCCGCCGCCAACACGGCAACCCGATCGCACGCACGCAGAAACACCACTACCACCCTCCCCTCCCCTCCGTCATGAGGCCTAGGCCTTTGCGTACCATCTTCAGGTTGGGAGTCTGCCCGTCTGCCTATCCGCAGGCAAAGTATGCCATCTTTGATCTCACAGAGATCAAGAGCTTCAGCCCTAATGTGGTTGAGCTTCTCACCGAATTCCAGGGACTCGAAAACAGGGTCGAACTATGACGTCGCTCGCGTCTGCATCTGTCAGACTCGGCGCGCCCACCGCACATATTACAAGTACTCCGCACATCTCATCTCACAGCAAACGCTGGGATTACGTATTACTAAGCGTCTAGCCTTCATCTTCATCGAGCGAAGGTTTGATCGAAGCCATCGAACGTCGATTTCGAACACCATCCAAAGTCAACTCTATTCACAAGAGTCTAGAACCTCCACGACGCCAATTAGCTTTGGCTGGATGAAATAACGAGGAAGCCATTTTGACACAGTCGTTGGCCCGCGGCCCGCGGCACACAGGGCCCAGAATAAGCTAAGGTGTTCAGGAGTCAGGAACATTGATCCCTCACACAAAATAGCGACAAAAGGATCTGCCTACTGGTCCTCGAGTAAGTTCAAAATTAAAGGCTAATGGTCTTGTGTCAAGCACAGCTGCGCTTTTGTTGTCAGTCCTTCCCGGCCACGAGTCACAAGGATTTCTTCGGAGCTGTGGTACAGGTGGACATTGGAAGTGTCAGAAAATAGATTTTATTGTTCTACCTCAGCGATTAACGATTATTCTAAATTAGCTAAATTGCGATTGTTCCGAGTTGTTGGAAACTTCTAACAGATGCGTCTAGGTAGGGAAGTGTTTACCATCACTTTAGGGGGTGTTTGGCTACGCAAATCTCTCCATGCAAAACAGGTGCAAAAGTCGAAGATTTGCACGGGCTGGAGGACCCTAAAGGCTTATGCAAAAGTTTCCTGATTTGCATGCAAATTAGACTATTATAACAAAACAAATGCACTACTGTTTAGCTCCTGCAAAAGTTTTTTCTATGTCGTCGTATATTTGTCGATTTTTGTAGGTTCCGTCTATATAACTAATTTTTAGTACTATACTACGATTTAGTTAGTTCTATTTAACTAAGTACTTAACCGAGTAATTATACTCCTTCCATCTTCTCTTTCTCCTTTAACTCTTTTAATTCTTTAACTTTTATATATATATATATATAATATAGCGCGAAAAAAGAAGACCTAGAATCCCATACTACTAGGTAGATCGTCCGAGGACTCTACTACCTAGGACTCCACTACCTAGGACTCTATTACCTAGGACTCTACTACCTAGGACTCTACTACCTAGGACTTGTTACAAAGTCTACCTTTAGCCTAAACGTAAGTATTATAAGCTATAGCCTTATAAAAGAGAGGCTATTTAAAGTAGATAGAAGACGATATTTTCAAGCTCCTAGAGTTTATATAAGAGAAGTAAGAAGATAACAAAGTAGGTAAGGGTAACTTTCCTAAACAGACATAGAAGATATATAGAAATCGATATACTCTATATAAACAAGAACCCTCTTATTAATCTAAATATAGTACCTTATAAAAGGACTTTAAAGTTATATATAAACTCTATAAGAATTCTAGTTTTAGCTAGGATAAGGAATATTCTATTACTACCGCGGATATACCTATCTAATTATATTATAGTAAATACTCCTTCTTTTATTTATTAATTAATCTAATACAATTATAGAAATACCTAGTAGTAAAATAGTAGAAGAAGAAGAGTTTTCCTTATTATTATACCTTTACTTAGCTTAATAAAAAGAAGGTTACTAGTAGTAAATATAGATATATATAAGGATACCCTAATACCGATTATTAAGATTTAGAGGACTTAGATAATTCTAACGATTCTACTAATTCTAATACTATAGATCCTAAAACTATAGATAATTCTATACTCGAATAAGCGGGTTTTATAGTTAATCCTATACTTAATTATATAGAGAACGTTAGTAACTCTATTACTATAGAATAAGTATAATAATTAAATACTAAAGTAGATATATACAAGGTTTACTATAGTGGTAAGGACGGTAAGGCTCGAAAGTAAAAGAAACTTAAAAAGTTGGGTAAGGATAAAGGATTAAAGGATAAGGAACTATAGTTAAATACGTAATAAGAGGCTATCTAATTAATAAATACCTCTAAATCCTAGGAGGTAAATAAGTGTAGTTTATTAAGAGATTTACTATTAAGTAAACGATCGAAACCTTTAGGACCTAAGAATCTTAGTAATATAAGCTAGAGTATTAATCGAATAGTAAGAGCTTGTAACGAATACTCAAACTGGCTAACTAAACTTGGCTGGGTGTTCGCTGGTTGGTATGCTATGATAAGAAGAAGACTATCGGGTTGTTCACTTGGAAGTGAACTCGTTACTTGTATCAAAGATGTCAAACTAATATGATAAGATTGATAACTAAGTTGAGCACGAAGCTCCTATCTAAATGGCAGACGTGCCAGTCTTATATAGAACCTTCGTTCTCTGTCTAATCGCTTTAGTCGCTCGCCTCAGTCGCTTCAGTCGACAGGCGACTCAGGCGACTGAAGCGATCATGGTCACGTGGTACTTTAATCCGACGAAATCCATGGATCGCTTAGCTAGCCTAAGGATCCCCTTCTGCTATAAGAGTTATGATAATGCTCGACCTGTCAGGGCGCCGCCTGGTCTTCACTATCTCCCGTGGTAACACGTGATTCGTGACAGAGCTATAGTAAGGCTATCTAAGGATTAATTAGAAGATATATATAATAAGACCTTATATAAATAAGCGCTCTTAAAATTATAGAATAAGCTATTTTTAACTAATCTCGGTATAATTACTATTATAAAGGTTCTTCGAGTACTAGAGTTTATAATAGAATATCTAATAATAAAGAAAATAATAAGAACTTATAAAGAACCTAGATTATATTAATACTTTAGGAGTATAGGTATAATAATCCTTCTAAATAATATATTATAATACTAGTAGAAGAACTAGAAATAGATTTAGATAAGCCTTAGTATAGATTTCGAAGGGTAGATATTTTATTTATTTTATTTTTATACTTAATTAATAATAATAATTCTACTATTCTACGAAACTTAGCTGTAAGTTACTATTATCGATAAGCGAGCTATTACTAATTATAACTTTTATATTCTACTTTATTATAATAATATTAATAAATAAACTTAACTTTTGATATTAGGAATTAATATTTAGATTCGTACCTTTTAAATAAATAAAAAACTAATTAAATTAGACTACTTTTAACTAAGAAAACTAGGGTATAAAGCAATATTATATTATAGCTTACTTCTAGCTATTAAAGTTATAAAATTTATCCTAAAACTATATAGATCTACTCTATTAAAGAACCTTTATTAGCTAGCTATATATAAATTTTCTACTTCTATATGTGACGGTTATGGTCACGAGGGCTGGATGTCACATGCTCGCTTAGCGAGGCGCTAGCGCGCACGACCTGTATTTAGTTCCCAGCTCTCTTGAGCTCTCCTTCTTTCCTCGTCTTTTGTCCTAAGAATAGAGTGTTAATTGTTCTGAGTTCTACCTGAAGCACGTCTGTCACACTATAGTATTATAACTAAGTACTTAACTAGCTTCTTATTTACTATATTTTATTACTGGTACCTTGTTAAAAAATAGTAGTAGTAATATAATAATACTAAGAATATATATAAGTTATTTATATCTTCTTTCTAACTCTACCTCATATATAGTAATAGTAATTTAATCTCTTATCTTGTTTCTTAGTACCTTAGTATAAGGATTAGTATAATATCTAGTCTTGTTTATAAATATAATATCTCTATTATCTTTATCCTTATAGTCTTTAAACTCTAGCTTTATTTCTTTATTATAACTAAGGCCTATAATTAAGCTTAATATATTATATAAAATATATAAAGTAGGAATAAGTTTAGCTTATACTTATATTTTAAATCCCCTTAGTGCTTATAATATCTTAAACTTAGTTTTTAAGACGCCGAAAATACGCTTAATAACGTTTTATAGGATAGCGTAGTATAGGTTAAAAAGCTTCTCTTTAGTCTTAGGGGTTCGTTTATTTATAAATACTTGTTTTTACTTATTTAAATAGTACTATATACTATAATATAGTACTAAGTATTCTAGTAAGCTAGGAAAGCTATAGTTACCGAGAATATATTTCCCCTTCGAGATCTAGATAACTCCTATATATATAGTATAGATTTATAAAGTTAAGTTCGCTATATTTCCTTCCTATCTAGATAATATATACGTAAATTATATATCGAATATATATATAGTAAGTATGTTTTAAGATAAATTACCGAGTCTATCTCTAAAACTAAACCTTTCCTTATACTATAGTATAACTAGAATATAAGTACTATTAATTACTTTAAGATAGTCTTTAAACTAAGGATAATTCTTTAGATTTATTTATATTATAAGAGGTATTTAAGTTAGATCTAAATAAGTAATTAATAACTTATAAACTTCGTCTAAGAGTAATATACCTATTATTTTGTAATAAGTATACTAAATTATCTTAGTACTCCTAGTTAAAGTAAGTAATTATCTAATTAGAACGTAGGGATTTATTACCTTTAAAAGTACTCCGCTATTTTATATAAGTATAAGTCGCTTATAACTATATATAAAAATATACTAAGCTACTCTCTTAATATTATATATTAAGTAAGTATAAGTCTACCTT